TCTATCTATCTATCTATCTATCTATCTATCTATCTATCTCTCTCTCACTCACTCACTCACTCACTCACTCACTCACTCACTCACTCACTCTGTCTCTCTCTCTCTGTCTCTTGTCTCAGTCTCTCTATCTATCTATCTATCTATCTATCTATCAATCTCTCTCTATCTCTCTATCCATCCCTCTATCTATCTCTCTGTCTATCTATCTATCTATCTATCTATCTATCTATCTATCTATCTATCTATCTATTTTTCTATCTATCTCACCCGTTCTGACAGAGAGAAAGAGAGAGAGAGAACTGTCCCTCTGACTGAAGAAACACGCATTCTTTAATATCTTCCTGTCGCTGGCCAGGGACATTACAGAGATGTTGAACTCACTTTTAGTCAGCATATTACTCTAAGCCAGTGCTGTTTCGATGGTTGGTTGTAACTGATTTTGGACATTATTGTATTCTTCCATAGACACAATTAGACTATTTAAGAGCCCGGCCGTTTCAACTCAGTTAAGCAGGGGTATTAGGGGCTGATCACGATATGACATTCAACTTTCAAAAAGACTTACCGGATAAGATAATATCCCCAAAAAATAGAAATTAATGTGAAGTCTTTCGCATACACACCCGATGACTTTTTCCATTACATCACGGACTCCAGTCTTGATTCCAGGGGTTTTTATTTCCTCAAATAAAACAGTGAAATGTGTATAACTATTCAAGTATTCAAAGCTGATACAGTATTATTTAGCAATTTACACATTAGCCAAAGCTGAGAAATCAGGTTTAAAAACAGTGGCTAAAATACTCAATAAAATTCTGACATCAAAATAACAGCACGTCTGGTCTGAACTTTCTTTTGTAAATTTGTAAACATCATTCCATGTATGATTTGCTTAGAGCAGAGGTGCGAGGAGTGAAGAACAGTCTATTCCAGTACATAATGTTGACCGCGGTACACTTGACTTAGTTGGACGAATGAATGGGAAATCATGATCGTGAGCATCTCTCAATCAATAACTACACGATGTAGAATCTAAGACTATTTGCCTCTTTTCCAAGAGAATGTCTTGATGTAGAATGTGAGTCATAATGTAAAAGCCCCGCAGGTCACTCAAAGGGTTGACAGAGTTAGGAGCAATACTATTATTATTTTCCATTCCCATACAACGACTTAGTGCTCTCCTTTCAAAATCTCACAGAAGAGACCTGCTCACCCAGTTCTTTTATCTGTATTTGTATGCCCAGCTTTCAGATTGCCTATAAGCCCGTTTACGTATAAATCGAGCCAACTCGAGCTATTACCGTAAGTGAGGTCGTCGCACTCACGTTTAACTGTGTTCTGATAAATGTAATTGAAGTTCAAAAAGACTTTTAAATCCACGAAAGATAAACAAGACAGCAAACAACTCAATTTGTACGAATGAATACGAGAAAGTTCTTAATGAAAAGTTCCTATTTATTTAAACTCATCCGTTTCAGCGTAAGAAGGAAGGCCCTGTACACAAGTTGCGTCAAAATATTGATTGAAAGGTTCTATGCACCCAACGACACAACTTAGATCACTTAGAGGCCGATCTCTATGACTCTACATGTCAGGAGGCATGCAGGGCTGAAGGTGAAATAAAAACCCCATCTGATAGACAGGAAAGCTCAATAAAATAAACTCCCTCTTGCAGGAATCGAACTCACGTCGTCGGCGTACTAAGACGAGGAGGATAATCACTGCAAAAAGTACGCCCGTTTGACTTCTTTGAGGACGTGGCGGAGATGGCCAACAGTAGAATTCGACAAAGGTCATATTAATATTGTGGCACATTCCAACGATCAAGCCCAAATCAGAAAAATAATTTGCGTAGATCTATTTCATAGTACGCATGTGGTTGTTAGCTTTGTTGTTGCTTTTTTTTTCTTTGTGTGTGTGTGTGTCTGTGTGTGTGTGTGTGTGTGTGTGTGTGTTTGTGCGTTTGTGGTG